AATGCACAAGCACCAGAAGAGAGACTAGATAACTGGGAGCTCCTAAAAATCAAACACTTATGCTCATCAAAAGACTTCACCAAAAGAGTCAAAAGACAAACTACAGACTGGGAAAAAAAATTTTGGCTACGACAAATCCGATCAGCATCTAATCTCTAAAATCTGCAAGATTCTGCAAAACCTCAACAACAAAAAGACAAATAACCCACTTGAAAAATGGACAAAGGATAAGAACAGACACTTCACCAAAGAAGATATTCAGGCAGCTAACACACACATGAAGAAATGCTCATGATCATTAGCCATTAGAGAAATGCAGATCAAAACTACAATGAGATATCATCTCACCCCAATAAGGCTAGCATTAATCCAAAAACACAAAATAATAAATGTCGGAGAGGTTGTGGAGAGACTGGAATACTTATACACTGTTGGTGGGAATGTAAAATGGTACAACCACTTTGGAAATCTATTTGGCGCTTCCTTAAAAAGCTGGAAATAGAAGTACCATAGGATCCAGTAATCCCGCTGCTTGGAAAATATCTTAGAGAAATAAGAGCCATCACATGAATAGATATATGCACGCCCATGTTCCTTGCAGCACTGTTCACGATAGCAAAAAGGTGGAAACAACCTAGGTGCCCATCAATGAATGAATGGAAGAACAAATTAGGGTATATTCACACAATGGAATACTATGCAACATAAAGAATAACCATGAATCCATGAAATATCTCATAGCATGGATAAATCTGGAAGGCATTATGCTGACTGAAATTAGTCAGTCACAAAAGGACAAATAGTGTATAAGACCACTATTACAAGAACTCAAGAAAAGGTTTAAACACAGACGAGAACATTCTTTGATGGTTATGCGGCTGGGGAGGGAGGGAGAGAGGTATTCATTAACTAGATAGTAGACAGAACTATCTTAGGTGAAGGGAAGGAGAACACACACTACAGGGGAAGTCAGCACAACTGAACTAAACCGAAGCTAAGGAGTTTCCTGAATACAATCAAATACTTTGAGAGACAGAGTGGCAGGGATGTGGGGTCTGGTGACCTTGCTTTCAGGGGACATCTATGTCAATTGGCATAACAAAGCATATTAAGAAAATGTTCTGCATCCTACTTTGGTGAGCGGTTTCTGGGGTCTTAAAAGCTTGCAAGCGGCCATCTAAGTTGCATCAATTGGTCCCAACCACTTAGAGTAAAGAAGAATGAAGAACACCAAAGACACAAGGAAAGTATTAGCCCAAGAGACAGAATGGGCCACATAAACCAGAGACTTCATCAGCCTGAGACCAGAAGAACTAGATGGTGACCGGCTTCCACTAATGAACGTCCTGACAGGGGACACAATAGAGGGGCCCTGGTGGAACAGTAGAACGATGGGATTCAGAACTCAAATTCTAGTAAGAAGACCAGACTTAATGGTCTGACTGAGACTGGAGGTGCCCCGGAAAGCATGCCCCTGGACTCTATCACCCCAGAACTAAAACAATTTCCAAGGCCAACTCTTCAGACAGGGATTGGACTTGACTGTGGGACATAAAGTGATACTCATGAAGAATGTGCCTCTTAGTGAAGTAGATACAAGAGACCAAAGGGGCAGCTTCTGTCCAGAGGTGAGATGGGAAGGCAGGGAGAGTTAGGAGCTGGTTGAATGTTCATGGGGAATCAGGTGCAGAGGGGAGGAGTATGTTGTCGTAGAATGAGGTGAGCGGTTGGGGTCTCATAACAATGCAGGTAAAAAAAAATTTGTATAGGAGACTAACTTGAAATGTAAACTTCATTTAATTACAACAATAAAAAAATATAAATAATTAAAAAAAATAAAATAAAATGCCAAAAAAAAGAAAAGAAAATGTTCTGCATCCCACTTTGGTGAGCGGTGTCTGGGATCTTACTAGCTACTGAGCAGCCATCTAACATGCATCAATTAGTCCCAACCCACCTTGAGTAAAGGAGAACGAAGAACACCAAAGACACAAGGAAAATATCAGCCCAAGAGACAAAAGGGGCCACATAAACCAGAGACTCCATCAGCCTGAGACGAGAAGGACTAGGTGCTGCGTGGCTACCACCAATGACCGCCCTGACAGGGAACACAACAGAGAGTCCCTGATGGAGCAGGAGAAAATGAGGTGCAGAGCTCAAATTCTTGTAAAAAGACCAGACTTAATGGTCTGACTGAGACTGAAGGGACCCCAGAAGACATGGCTCCCGGACTTTCTGTTAGCACAAAACTAAAACTGTTCCCGAAGCCAACTCTTCAAAGATTAGACTAGAGTATAAGACATAAAATGATACTTGTGAAGAGTGTGCTTCTTAGCTCAAGTAGATACGTGCGTCTACATAGGCAGCTCCTGCCCGGAGGCGAGATGAGAAGGCAGAAAGGGACAGGAGCTTGTTGAATGGACAGAAGAAATCTGGGGTGGAAAGTAGGAGTGTGGTATCACAGTATGGGGAGTGCAACTAGGGTCACGTAGCAGTGTGTATATAAAGTTTTGTATGAGAAACTAGAACTGTAAACTTTCATTTAAAGCACAATTAAAAAAAAAAAAAAAGGGTTAAGTCAAATGTCAACTAGGTAAGGCCTTTTCTAACTCCCCAGACAGAATTACTCCCTACTCCATGCTTCCATTTACTTTGTTCCTGTGACTGTTGTTTTTATCACGTCATTGGGTTTGGTTCTGTCTTTTTACACTATGTTCTCAAATACAAATTGCCTGTTATTGTACCCTTAAGGCTTAGCACGATGTCTGGCATGTTATATACTCATTAAAAGTTGAATTAAAGATGAAGAGGAAGAAGAAAAAACGTGAGATGGGGGTGGTGGATAGACAAAAACAAAAACAAAAAAACCCAAACCCGTTGCTGTCCAGTCAACTCCACAACCCTATATGGCAGAGTAGAACTGCCCCATAGAGTCTCCAAGGAGCACCTGGTGGATTTGAACTCTGGACCTTTTGGTTAGCAGCCACAGCTTTTAATCAGTATGCCACCAGGGTTTCCGTGGATAGAGTAGGAATTATTTAATCAAGTGGCATAGTTCCCTCTCATATTCTGTTTCCCCTGCCCATTTCAGGAGACCTATGGCCAGCTGGAAGAGAACTAAGAGATCTAAAGAAGGCTAATCAGAATAAAAAAAGTATGCGGTGTAATGATGAAGAGCAGCGGCTTTAGATTGAGGCCTGGATCTGTGGACCATGGAAAGTAACCTTTCTGATTTTTACTTTCCTCATTATGCACTGGGGCTAACAATAGTACCAACTCCCTAAGGAAATTGTGATTTAATAATTTCTAAAGCATTTTCACACTAAAAAAAATCCATTGCGATGGAGTGGATTCTGACTCATAGCGAGCCTATAGGACAGAGTAGAATTGCCCCATAGGGTTTCCGAGGAGTGGCTGGTGAATTTCAACTGCCAGTCTTTTGGTTAGCAGCCAATCCTGTAACAACGGCACCCCCAGGGTTCTTTCACACCGTAAATAATCAGCAGTTAAAGCTTCCAGGCATCCTTTTCCAACACCAAAAAGGTACATACTCCGCTAAATAGTTTCCTATAGAAGAAGCGAAGAAGCTAACGTGGCTAAAACTTAATGATGGGAACTCGAGCCTGGATTCCCTTCATATTGCCCCCATTAATGCCACTATTAATTTATGAGAATGAATTCAAATCTCAGCCAGAAAACTTGAGTTAAGGTCATCTTTAATGGCTTGTTTTTCAGGCCTTACTCAATATTAAGGGAAGTCCAGTGACCAGGTATGTATGGAGAGAATTGATTTGCCACTGGTCCCAGGAGGTAACCCTGTCACAAAGCCATGGGACACCTAGTCACGGGGGTCAGGCAATGAATGAGGGCGCTTGCGCAGTAGAGTCAAGAACAGGGGAAGCGGGCGCCTGCGCAAAGAGGGAGTGGTCGTCCGCTCCCCGCCCCGTCTCTGCCAAGGCGCGCTAGCGCAGTTAAGATCCGGCAGCAGAGACCGCCTGCGCGGTAGTGGCCAAGGAGGCTGTGGCGGTAGCGGTAATGGAACCAGCGGAGCAGCCGAACGAATTAGTGTCAGCCGAGGGCCGAAACCGGAAGGCGGTGCTTTGCCAACGTTGTGGCTCCCGGGTACTGCAGCCAGGGACCGCTGTCTTCTCCCGCCGACAGGTAAGGAGGCAGAATAGAGGCATTTAGCACCCCGCACGCTCTTTCCCAGAGGGCCCGAGGAGGTCGGGTCAGTCCCGGTGCCTCAATTTCCGGAGACCGCACCGCTCCTCGCGCGGTCTTTAAGCCACGCCCCGGGATCGAGGCTCCGCCCAGCCCGAGCCCTCCCTCCTTGGCTCCCTGCGGCGGAGGATGGAGGAGGAAGGGATGGCGGCCCCGGTCCAGGCTCCTGGACTGCAGAAGCCTTTGGGAGCGAACTTTTCCGTATGCCCGTCTACCTGGCTTTTGACAGCCCACCCTCTGTCCCAGGCCTGACCTGTCAGAGCACTCGCTGCCGCCGCCGGAGGCCCGGCCCATCCGTCAGGCCCCGTCTAGCGACGGGTCCTCGGAGCTGCCGTGGGGCGCGCCGTTCCTGCACCTCGCTGCGCTTTAAGGCTCAGTTGTTCCGCGTACGAGTGGAAGGTATGCGCCCTGAGCTTGCTGGTTTCTTAGAGCCGGCGAACCTGTGAGACCCAGCAGGTTTATCTTTCAGCTCCTTGCCTCGCATGCTGCCAAACTGGCGCTTGAGTGTAACTGATCCGTGTCCCACATCCAGCCCTCACCCACCAGTCCGTAATCCTGACAGGCGCGGGTCTGCTCCACGGGAGCTTCAGAAAGAACAAATTATGACAAAAGAAACCTGTAACCTAAATACTTGACCAAGGTACTGGAATCCACAGTTTCACAGATGAACCATATTTCAGATGAGATAATAGTCTGAAGTTCTGGAAATATATTTTGAAGGAAATGTTTTTTCTTCAAGTTTGGACTTTTAATACCGTTCGTACCTCAACACCCCAGTGAGTAAGTTGATTTTTTTTTTTTGGTAAACTTTTTATTGAAATGTACCATACCCACAGGAAAGTGCGAAGTATGATCTTATTTCCACCATGTACCTATACTATCACTCCAAATTATTTCTTAAAATGTGCAATCGATCATTTCATGTGGTTGAACAGATGATAAAGTGTAATGTCCAATATACAGTAAAACCTATGAAAGCCGGAACCTGTGTAAGGTGGAAACCTGTCAGAGAAGGACAACTAAAATATTATTTTCCACTAAAACAAGTGATAGAAATTGGTAAGACTGTCAAAGGCAGAAATTCGAGAGACCTGGAAAAACAAGGCAGTCCCCATCGAGTGCCAGCCCTCACAGGTTTCATTGCAGGAGCAAGAAGCACCTCTCCCTCCAAAAGCAGATCTCTTTTCATAAAAGAAGGGAGAATCAGTCAGTGTCTTTGTTTTATGGATGTTTTTATGACTTTTAGTCCAGAGATTGGTGGAGCTCCCCCAGTCTCCTTGATTAGGCTTCCACGGATTGGGAGTAGAGCTCTCTGTTTTACTGTTAGTTGCGTTATAGAGTGGTGGAATGAACATGGATCTTGGAATTAAAACATACACAGAATTAAATTCTGACCTTACCATTCCTTAGCATTGGAACAGTTTCTTAACCTTCATGAATGTCAGTTTGCTCATTGTGTAAAATAAAGACTGCATTATAGGAAAGGATTTGTGTGACAGCACTGTGCCTAGCATTTTGTACTTAATATGTGCTGATTCCCACTCCCCTTTCCTTTGGCAAGGTTTTATTTACTTTAATAAACTGGCAGAAATTAAGAGACTTCTAAAAGGAGTTTATAGTTTGTTTTTATTTTTTTCTCTAAATTTTATGTATTTTGTTGTTGTTGAGAATATACACAGCAAAACGTACACCAATTCAGCAGTTTCTACATGTACTGTTTAATGACATTGATGACATTTTTCAAGTTGTACAACCATTCTCACCCTCCTTTTCTGAGTTGTTCTTCCCTCATTAACATTAACTCACTGCCCCCTGAGGTTCCTATCTAATCTTTCAAGTTACTGTTTTAGTTCGATCTCATATAGATGTTCTTAAAAGAGCATAATGCTCAAGACATGAGTTGGAATGGACTTGAAGGCAGTGGGTTTGGTTTGGTTTTGGAAGCTAAACTATTGTTCAGTTTTAAGATGACTTCACGGGATATTTTTGGTTTAAAGATTATCTCAGGGCAATAGTTTTAGGGATTCATCCACCCACCATGGCTCCAGAAGGTCTGGAGTCCATGAGAATTTGAAATTCTGTTCTCCATTTTCCCGCTTTTGATCAGGATTCATCTATGGTATGTTATTCAGTAATGGTAGCCAGGCACCATCCAGTTCTTCTGGTCTCACGGCAAAAGAGGCAGTTGTTCATGGAGGTAATTAGCCACACATTCCATATCCTCCTCCTATTCCTGACTCTCCTTCGTCTTTTGCTTCAGGCGGATAGAGACCAATGTTTGTGCCTTGGATGGCTGCTTGCAAAGTTTTAAGACCCCAGATACTACAACGCAATGAACTAGGAGGTGGAACAGGAGCACTGAACACATTATTAGCCAATTAACTGGAATGTCCCATGAGACCATGACTCTAAACCTCAAAACCAAGGAACCAAATCCCATGAGGTGTTTGGTGGTACATAAGCAGCCTCAGCAGCTACTGTTTTTTGTTTTTATCATTGTAAATATATCTATCACACAACTTTTGCCAATTCAGCTTTTTACAGGTGTACAATTTATTGACAACAGAATAATCAGCTGTGCAACCGAACCCTTAATCAGTGCATTTTTTCCATCACAGTTAACTTCCCTTTTCCTCCTCCGTCCCACCCCTAGTAACCACTACTGAACTTTAATCTCTGTACATTTGCCCTTTCTTGTCTTTTTATATAAATGAGGTCACACGATATTTGTCCTTTTGTGATTGGCTTGTTTTGCTCAGCATAATGTCTTCAAGCTCCATCCATACTGTAGCATGTATCAAGACTTCATTTCGCCTACTTGCTGAGTAGTATTCCATTCCATTGTGTGTATGTACCACATTTTTTTGAGGGAGATTAAGGTTTTGGCTATTTGAATAGTGCTGCAGTGAACATTGGTGTACAAGTGTCTTTTTGAGTGTCTGCTTTCAAGTCTTTTGGGCATATACCTAGGAGTGGAATTGCTGGGTCATATGGTAGTTCTAGTTTTAGTTTTTTGAAGAACTTCCACTGTTTTCCACAATGGCTGTACCATTTTGCATTCCCACCAGCAATGGGTAAGGGTTCCAGTTTCCCCACATCCTCGCCAACATTTGTTATTTTCTGAGTTGTTTTTTTTTTTAAGCCTTCCTAGTGGTAGTGAAATGGTATCTCGTTGTGGTTTTGACTTGTATCTTTCAGATGGCTAATGATGCTGAGCATCTTTTCATGTATCTGGCGGCCATTTGAATGTCCTCTTTGGTGAAATGTCTATTCAAGACTTTTGCCCATTTTATGATTGGGTTATATGTCTTTTTATTGTTAGGAGTCAAAGTTTTTTTATATGTTTTGGTTATTAGATTCTTATCAGATCTGCGGTTTCTGAAGATAGTCTTCTGGTTGGTAGCTTGTCTTCTCACTTTTTTGGTAAAGTCTTTAGATGAACAAAAGTTTTAAATTTTTATGAGGTCCCATTTATTTATTTTGTCTTCCGTTTGTGCCTTTGTTATTATATTAGATATAATATTAAATTATTAAATAATGTATTGTTAAAAACTAGGCCTGACAGTGTTGCTACTGCATTTTCTTCTAAGAATTTTATGGTTTTGGTTTGCACATTTAGGTCCTTAATCTATTTGGAATTTGTTTTTGTGTATGGTGTGAGGCATGGATCCTGTTTCATTTTTCTGCATGTGGAAATACAATTTTCCCAACAACACTTAGTAAAGAGATTCTTCTTTCCCTATGGCCCTTGTCAATAATCAGTTGACCACAGATGTGTAGGTTTACTTCTGGACTCTCAGTTCTATTCCATTGGTCTGCGTGTGTTTTAAAATTTTTAATTCCTGTTTGATGTATTTTGTTTTAAACTGACCTTGCTAAAAGTTGTGTGGAGCAAAATAAATTATACATATTATATTTCTATCTGTTTATATTTCTCAACTAATAAAGTGGCTTCTAATCTAGAAAAGGTGCCAGAAACTACGTTTATGTGTTTTAATTTCTTCTTCCTCTTTTTAAAAGACATAGAGAGGTGTTTTTGCTTGTTTGTTTACATAGCTTCACTGTTTCTGGAAATTCTCTTTTTCTTGAGAAAAGAATATTAGAAGGATCCTTTCCCTGGACTCCAGCACATCTCAGTCAGCCCTGCTCCTACCCCAGTTATCCTTCTCATTTCAGTCCTAAGTTTTTGGGGTTTTTTTTCCTTCCTTTCCACAGATACTAATTTCAGGAAAAATATAGCTTCTAGGCCATGATGTTAACAGGAAGTTTTAAAATAAAATTCCATGGGAGAGTCTCACCAGTTATTGCCCCTTCCCCCTGCTGTGTGTCACATACTTCAAGAGAAAAAGCCCCTACCCTTACAGAGAACAAATAGTTTACAGCCTCAAGGGCACCAAACTCCTTAACTGAAACCCCCTAAAGTTTTGGGGTAGCTCTTTTTGGTCATCATAAACCTGAAATGTTGCAGAGAAACCACCATTAGGGCAATTGCATCTCTGAAGGTGTTGAAGGAGTGCTCCAGACATTAAAAAATCTGGAGAAGGTGTAAGGAGTCCAGGTCACAGGTGGCCAATAGCATTCTTTCTTACTCTGCCCAGTGGAATAATCTAGTATAGCCTCTAAACAGGAACAATTTGAAAACAAGACTTCTCCAGTCCTACCATTGAGATGATCTAGGGCCTAGTGATTATCTTATATTCCACGGTTCTTTAAAGCAGTCTTTCTCAACTGGAGGTGACTTTGCTCTCCAGAGGACGTTTGGCAAAGTCTGGAGACGTTTCTGGTTGTCACAGTTGGGGGGTTGCTACTGGTGTCTAGGGGGTAGAAGTCAGGGGTGCAGCTAAGTATCCTAAAATGCACAGGACAGCCCCCCACAACAAAGAATTCCCCAGCCCAAAATATCAGTAGTGCTGAAGTTGAGAAACCCTGGCCTGAAGACT